TAAGTTGAGGTTTTAGGAACTTCATTTATGATTCTTTTTGGGTGAGAGAGTTGGAGGTTGGTGAAGGACTATTCTGAACTATTTGGATAAGCTCATTGTGGAGTCCTTGTATCTTGAACCTGATCTCCGTGATCATATCTTCGAGAGTCTGCACTTTTGTCGTAAGAACCTTTTGTGTCTTTGTCAGCTTTGTCTGTTGTGCCAAAATGGTTTTGAGAACTTTGTTTTGGGAAACAACGTTTTCACTCTACCAGTTTAGAGTGGCTTCAGCATGACTAACAGTGTTGGGGTTTCCAGAGGAACTTCTGGTTGTGGGAGTTTTGATCTTCCAATCCTGCCTCGTTCTTTGGTGGGGATGTTCGAAAGGACTAAGTGGTGGAAATTCTTCCCGGTACTCAGATGGGGTTGTTGGGGTTATAACACAACATTCACCTTGGGACTAGTTGGGGGGGGGGGGTTTATGAGAATGTGAGGTATGACAGGGCTTGAGGGTTGGGTTTGGTATAGAGGGTGAGTTTCCATACAAAACATAGTAATCGAACTTGCCTGATGGTTCACCTAGAAGTCCAACAGCAGGATCTCCTGTCTCATATCTCTTCTTTAGCTTTCGTTGAGAACCCTTTTGGGGAATATCTTCATCATAATCAACTTTGTATGCTTCGTCCAAGCAATCTTGGCAGTTGCATACGTCATACCAACAATGTTGGTTCATTACAGCGATGTTGATGATTCTAATGGTTGGATCATGCCGATGGTTGGAAATATGTCCGTCTTTGTTTCTCTGTTCGAGAATTTGATTTCAACCATTCCATTTTCATGTTGAATGAAATTTGGAGCCGTGTTTGTCTGGACAGGGGCTTGATGGACCTGCTCGTAATTGGTTACCCATTTTTCTAGTAGAAGTTTGAGCAACTCTTCTCTGGATAACTGTCTTGGAACATACGTGCATGTTGTAGTGGCACTTGAATAGACATCAACAAGCAAGGCACCTCCTGCGTGTTCCTGTTCTGGAACCATAATGTCCAAAGAGTGGTTTTGGGACCCTATATGCCATTTAATAGTGAAAGGTTGCTTGGAAGGTGTTAACTTGGGCAGTTCCACCTATCTGTATCTGGGCTTTGAGGGTTGTATGTAGTGAGGGATCATTTAGAGGCATATTGAAGTTTGGATAGAAAGTGACAAAGACTGTTTCTGCGTTCAAGGTTGTTTGTATAGTACCTACGTAAACATGTTGGTATTCTACAAATCTAGTGTCAACCAAGGCAATACGGGAGAACGCTGGAAGACCTTTCCTACCATGAAAGGTAAGGGCTAGTCTAATAGCGCCAAAATGGATATGTGTATCCTTGAGCTAGGCAATGCCTGGGAAGGTCTGTTGGGAGGGATAATGTCACTAGATGCTCGGCAGAGGTGGCCGAGAGTTGGTGTGAGTCGAACTTGGATGCCTGAACAAATTCTTTTACCTGGTGGTTTGAGCTGGATCCTATTAATTTTTTTACTTTTTTTGAAAAAGAGGAAGTTGGCTTAGAAAAAAACACTATAAGGGTTAACTATGGGCATACTTGATAAGGGTATTTTAGAATCATCTGGGACATAGAGAATTTCGTATAACTGATCTATTTTGGAGGCGGAAGATTGACGGAAACTTGAGGAGTTTGAAGATGAACGAGAGTAAGAAAGATCTGGGTTCATGATTGGGTATGATATTCTTTCTTAGAACAAAGATCTATTCTCAATTCTTGTTTAAAAATATAGATGCGACTTCTCTTGCGTCGACTTACAAATTTTTTGTCAAGAAGATGAGAATACAAAAAGAAGTCTAAGGCCTAATATCGAATCACTCGATTTTATTTTCTAGATTGGTTTTCTGATATGAGAAATCCGTATAAAACGACAGTCATGGAGTATACTAATCCAAATTTTGAAAGAGAAAGGAGGGGGAACGGTGGTGTGGCTCTGATACCAAAGGGTGATTCCCAAAACTGGGAGACTAGTCTAATAATTAATAATGTAAAAACTTTTATATAATATTTGTTGATTTATGTTTGTATTTTCTTTTAGCTAAATGTATAGGTTACCAAAATTGATTGAATTGTTTATGCAACAATAACAAATGGATATGTTGGAGAATATGAATGATGTTGATAGATATTTGGTTGACGAATCTATCAAACCAAACACTCCCTTATTTGATGTTGTACGTTGGTGGAAAGAAATTACTAGTAGTTATTGCATTCCACTACAACAACATTAAGTTTATAGAACGTCCTAAAATGTCTACTCGTCATAATATGATACTTTTAAGTTTATAGAACGTCTAAAACGTCTACTCGTCTAAAGTATTTCATTTGTCAAATTTATATAACTACTAACTCGTCAACTCAACCCAACCCAACCCACAAACGTTAAGTTATACTTTTGCATGGACTAGGTTGGGTTGAAATTTTTCCAAACCACCTAACCCAACCAACATACACTCCTCCTAGTACCACAAAAAGCATGGAACTAATCAAAAGACTAATAATGATTTTGTAACTTATAAATGTTTTGATCAATCACCCGTGATAGTAATTAGATACATTTATACCTTTGGGGATAACTCAACTGAGCTTCCTCCTAATAGTTTTTTCTAGGTTGTTAACTTTAGAAACCTTAAAATTAGTCCGGATTTGTAGAAATTAGTTAACAACTTATATTTTTTTAAGTAGAAATATCTATCTATTCATCTATCTATCTATCTATCTATCCATCCATCTATTTATATATAGATAAATTGTAGATAGATTTAATTCAAAAATTAAAATAAAAAAGAAACTGATTTGACAATTTTTACACCATTTGATAGATTAAAACTTTTGGTGGCTTCAAAATGTTTGGCAAGCCACTTTGTCATCCATTATTTGATAATTAATGTACTAATTTATTTAATGGAATAATTATTAACGAATTTGGAAAATGAATTTGTATTTTAAAATCGATTCCTTCATTAAATTTTAACAAATTAAATAGAAGCATAGTGCGATACAAGTCACAAAATGGTGAAAGGGTATTTATTATTTCATTATTTAATTGAAAGAACATATCCCTTCATTACTTTGTTTGGTTAATTTATCAAGGACTTGTATACTAATTCGTCTTGGATTCTTTTAAAAATAGGTCGGTTTACGGTTTACTTGAGAATCATTGGTCAATTCTAAAATATTAGGGCCAAAAAAGATAAATAATCCAATTTAATCTGAATTGATAATGCTATAATCTGATTTGATCTGAACTGAAATAATTCAATTATTTTTATTTAAAATAATATGTCATTTATATTATAAATACTCATTTTCGGATAAATGAGATACCAATTTATCGTGAAGTTCATAAATTGTTATAGAAAAAAATATATGTTGATATATACGTTATATATATTTTTCTTAAAAACAATTCAGTTGATACCGTTGACGAGGTTCTTGACACATATACCTTGAGTTCAAAATTCAATATATCATTACAATAAAATTAGGTATATAAGATATGGAAATATTTAAGCATTAAGATAGATTATTTTATGTGACTTAATTTTATAAAACCAAAAATTTTATGCCCTATGTAAGAAAATGTTTACGGAACTCCTTGTCTTGACAAGTTTTTAAAGATATTTTTAAATGAAGTGTCGTATTAGTTTTTCATAGGACATTTTCGAGAAATATAATATTAACAATTTTTATAATTTTATAGGTCATTTGTTAAAACACTTAATGATACAATACGTCAAAAATAATATGATGTTTTATTTAAAAATCTTCTAACCTTTTTATTAAGACGCACAAAAACATTAAATATATATATAGAAAGAGAGAGATGTGGGTTATTATACAATCTTTTACATTTGTACAACCAATACAACTCAATCTTAATCGTCTATTTAATTTGATAAATATGTAATTTCATAGAAGTTTTGATTGTTTCATAATATAACATATTGATCATAATTAATGAACCTTATTCATCTTACATAAATATTTAAATCATAATAAAAGAACTCTCATTATTTCCATAAATATTTCAATTTATTGGTTATACAAATGTGATAGGTTGCATTTGAAACAATCTCTCTCTCTCTCTATATATATATATATATATGCACTTTACAAAAGACATATAATTGTTTGACTATGTAAATCTAAATTTTATTAAAAAATCTATTAATATTTAAATATGTTTGACGTCGTACAAAGACTATTATATCGTAATATATTGGCAATATTTTGTTTATTTTTATTATAGTTTCTATCTAAAAACTGATTTATTTTCCAAAAAGATATGGTATGTTTAAGTTCGGTCGAATAATGGACACCAAAAAGACAAACACACATTCTAGAATTAGGGGTGTTTGCGGTTCTGGTATAGACTATTTAAGTCTTTTTGATAGACCATATCATAAGTGAAGGTTCAGGATTTCTAGTTTAAAGTGAAGTGTTAGGATCGGTCATATATATATATATATATATATAAATATATATATATATATATATATTAAAATACAAAAATACAGTGTGGTCCAAACGATTTAGGTAGTTTAAGTTAACCTTAAACTTTTAGGAATCTGTAAATATGGTGTCGTTTGTGATGGACATTTTCTTCGATCTATTATGTTTGTGTGATACTTCTACAACAATTTCATACAGAAATTTAACCAAAACCAAGTTTTATTGTAGTATACGAAGAAATGGTGGTTGAAATGGAGCTTTAGTCATTAGGTCAGCAAAAATGCGACACTACAATAAACATTGTATATATCCAATAATCAACTGACCATTGAAAAAAGAAATAATTGATAATGAAATTGAAAAACGAAAATTAAGGAAGTTGAAGAATATAAAATCTCCCTTACCCACGTCTTTCTTTATATATATATATATATATATATATATATATACACTTCCCTTCTTGTTTCACAATATAACGACTTCATAGAATACAAACATTACCTGAATCAAGTCTTCCCACTAGATTCTCTCTCTCTACATCTTTCTCTCTCTCTCTCTCTAGATCTGTGTGTGTGTGTGTGTGTGTAGAATTATGGGTTTTCTTGCAGAACCAAAGATACCTGTGATTCATATGGTAGATATGAAGAAAAGCAGAGATTGCAGAGATTTGGTTTGCAGTGAAGTGAGGCATGCACTTGAAGAGTATGGTTGTTTTTTTGTTGTTTGTAATGGGAGTATTACTGAAGAAGTTAACAGGGAAGTATTTGACGTGTTGGAAACCCTATTTGATCTACCCATGGAAACCAAAATAAAGAACACTTCTGAGAAGGCTTACCATGGGTATATAGGGCAACTCCCTTTTCTTCCACTCTTGGAAAGCATGGGAATTGAGCATGCTGCAAGTGTTCATGGAGTTCATAGCTTCACAAACATCATGTGGCCCTCTGGAAATGACATTTTCTGGTAATTATAGCATTAACTTCTTAACCAAAGTTAGCTTATATTTTGAGTTTTAGTTAAATAGGAAAATTAAGCTTCGTTTGATTACAGACTTATGAAACGCTACTTAAATTAGAAATTCAATGAGCTCCATCACTATTCTTTTTTCCAATTAATTATTCTTTCAAATTTGTCTTTTTAGGTCATTTGACATCGTAATCTAACTTATTAGCTAGTTTTATAAAATATGACTAATTTTAGCACCTAACAACTACATTAGTTATCTAACCAGCTAGTTTGTGAAACATAACCATTATATATAGAAACTTTACATATATATATATATATATATATATATATATAGTATCACGTGTGACCAGTCTGTTTTCGTGAGACTCGTGAGATCACTTTTTTATACTTGAAACTTCAAAACACAATACCTTCACAGTGTTTTTGGTGTGAAGTTTTGGATTTTTTTTTACCTTCACCATGAATTGCTGTGAAGTTTCAAGTGTAAAAACGTGGTCTCATATGTCTCACGAAAGCAGGTTGGATCTCACGTGAACCGAACCCTATATATATATATAGTTGAAATGTCGTGTGAGAAGCAGAGTAAGATGAAAAGCGTAAGAAGGGATCTAGACCCTTGATTACCTTTAATCTCAAACCCACCCATAAATCGTGCTTAGTACCAGGATTGGTCAAGGTGCATCTTGGTGCCTCCCATCTCGATGCATTTCATCTTGATGTGCATCCAATAGTGAAGATCTCTTCTTACACTTCTCATTTTGACTCTCATTCTTACTCGAACCGGATCCTATATGTGTGTATATATACACACACATATATGTATATATATATATATATATCTAACACCCAAAATGCAGTTGCATTTTAAGGAATAAGGATATTATGCACCAAAAATTTATATATCAAGATACCACAAAAATATAGAAGAAATTTGATTGTGATGAATGAATCAATTAACGTCAAGTCTTTTTTTTTTTTTGGTTCTCCTCTTAACAGTAAAATGATGCAGTTGTATGCAAAGCTAGTTTCTGAAATTGAAGAAACAGTTAGGAAGATTGTGTTTGAAAGCTATGGATTGAACAAGTATCATGAATCCTACAATGAGTCTGTGACATATCTTCTTAGAGTAATGAAATACAGACCGCCGAATACGAACGAGACTAAATTGGGTTCGATGTCTCACACCGACAAGACCTTCATATCCATACTCAGCCAAAATCAAGTGAAGGGATTAGAGGTTAAAACCAAGGACAACAATTGGATCCCTGTGATCTACCCTCCTTCTTCCTTCTTGGTCATGGCAGGAGATGCATTCAAGGTAACATCATTACCCAATCAGCAAAATTGGTCTTATATAGGATTGACTAGTAATTAATGGGAATTTAGGGTAGTCCCTGATTGGTTTGAGCTTGACTCCAAAGGTCAAAAGTGTCAGGAGATCCCAGGTTCAAATCCAAGGAGAAACAAAAATCCCCTTGTAGCTACGGAGGTTCAAATCCATTGACTCCGGGCTACGTGCAAAGATCCAGGTTAATAAAAAAAAAAAAAAAAACTGTATTGACGTTACAATAAGTTGTTACTGTAAAATTAGATGACCTGACAAGTTTTATTGACGAAGTTGGACAACCTAATTAATAGCAGGGAAACTATATTAATTAACCTTTTATATGCCCTTTTTTAAAAAAAATGTTATATTAGCCTTTCATGTATGGACACTTTTCAAAATTGCCATATAAAAGAGGCTAATATAACAATTTACTTTTTGTCATATAAAGTTGCTCAGCTTCGAAGATAAAATTTGTTAGGTCGCTTTTATGCAATAACAACTTGTTGACTAAAGCCATTAGATAAGATGTCGGTTTTAGAAATTTAAAAGTCTTATAATTAAGTAATATTCTACTATAATGCATATGCGTCCTATGATTAATATCAATTTTGTTGTAGGGAATATACATATATATATATATATATATATACACACACACTCCCTACGATCATATATATATATATATATATATATATAACGTACTTATATCAAGTTTTATTTGTATTAGGCATGGAGTAACGACCGTGTACAGTCTCCTTATCATCGCGTAGTCATGGAAGGACATGAATATAGATACTCAGTAGGGTTATTTACATTCCACAAAGGGATCATAGAGGTACCAGAAGAGCTAGTTGATGATGCACACCCAAGAAAATTCAACTCATTTGATCATTTTGGGTATCTTGACTTCTATGACAAAGACTCAATGTTCGATCAAGAATACTCCCATGTTAAATCCTTTTGTGGGGTGTAACTCATTACTTTTTCCAGTTGTGTTAGTTATAAATCTTGTCAAAACTCTGGGTGGTAACTCGACCGATAAGATATTTGATTCCGGTCTGCTCCCTAAAGATCACCAACTTGAAACCTTTCAAGTAGGACCATTGACGTGTTTATCTGATTGTTAACTTTATGGTTTTATGAAACCAGTATCAAAAACGTCCATTAATAAAATAGCAGTTCTTGAAGTTGAATGTTAGGTCTTTTTGTAAATGAAATATGTTGATGATATTATTATGATATTTATGATAATGTGGTGGGATAGATTTTGATTAAATTCAACTCATAAATTGAGTTCTACTGTTAGTGATGATTACATTAGTCATGGAGACAGACCTTGAAATATCTGATATGAATTGTATTATTTATTTCTTTCTCAATAAAATAATTAATAAAATAATTAATATATTGTATTAAATACAACTAAATCATTACAAGCAATGAAGGAGTTTGGAATTCTGGGAGTACCCTTTTCAAGTCTCTACAGGCCACTTCATACCATGGCAAAACATTAAATGATTTGATAAGAAATGAGTTTTAATTATGAATGATTTTGATAATAAATAATATTAAAGTAATTTTATTTTAAAATAATGAATATTTTTTATGATAAATAATTTTATGCATGATTTTATCTAGAAATGAGTTATATAAAGATGAAAAATAAATTAAAAATATGTATATATAAAGAGGGTTCGTGATAGTGTAATTGTCTAATGTATATATTAATAGAAACTCAACAATCATATTAAATCCAAAAAATAAAAGGATATCGAGTTCATTGCGTTGGGTTGAGTTCAAATAATAGTTAGTCAATATCAACACAATACCTATGGTTTGAAAATTTTACAACTCGATTAGACATCGAGTTGCTTAAGATTGAGTTATTTCGCATTGGGTTAGGTTGGGTTGATCGAGTTGGTGGGTTTTCGAGCACCCCTAGAGTGGATAAGAACAATCGATGGGAGGTAAAAGCCATATTGAGTGGAAACACAAGGGTTTCACTATTCAAGCCATGCAATAATAAGGAAATCCACCCAAAGATTAAAGCTATTCAAGCCATGAAATAACAGTTTCAATGACTTGAAGTTGTATTAGAAGGTGTGATGGAAAGATTGGAAAGAAGGACAAAAAAAGAACGACATACACCTAGAACAAATCGAGAAGAGGAGTACGAAGGGGAGGAAGAGTATGAATATGGAGCACGACATCAAAGAAGAAGGCATAGTAATAAAAGAGACGGAACTAAATAACTATTCCACAATTACAAGGGAAGAGTGATTTTCGTAATCTTATTTGGAATGGGGAAAAAGATTGATCTTATATTTGAATTCAATAACTATTTCGAGGATAAAAAGGTAAAAGTAGCTGCCATTGAATTCATGAAATATGCAATAGTGTGGTGGGATCAATTGGTGACAAACCATGGTGGGAGGCTTATTTCTACTTGGGATGAAATGAAAATGGTTATATGCAAGAGGTTTGTTCTTTTTCATTATTTTGGAGACTTATATTGCAAATTACAATCTGACTTAGGAACAAAATCTATGGAGGACTATTACAAGGAGATGGAGATTGCTATGATTTGAACAAATGTTGAAGAAGACAGGGAGGCAACCATGTCAAGGATTTTAAGTGGCCTAAACTCTGACATAGCCAATATGGTGGAACTTCCATATTGCATGCAACTCCAAAAGTTGATGTCTCCAAAAATGCCTCTATTGGCAATCATCACTCTACTTAAGCATTAATGATCCTGCCACCTAGAGATTTTGATATACATGACATTTAAAAAAAGTGTTATGCTTACACGTAATGAGTTCAAACAGTTAAATAATAAAGCTATAAAACAGTAAAACCGAAAATATAGCTTTAATCAAGTCAAAATGATCGATTTATATTTTTCACTCTTGGATGGGCACAATACATCTTACGTTGATGAGGGCGACCCGATTTACCATTGATAGTGAGAGAACAGAAAAGTAAGCCACATATCCATGTTATATGAGCATTACATACGGATTATCATTCATTAAGTTCAACCACTCCAAGTCTATAGTTTAATGAGTTAATAAGCTCAACTACTCCAAATCTATTGCTCGTAGAGTCCCAAGCTCAACCAAACTAGGTCTATAACTTGAGATCTACAAAAATCCTAGTTAAGCTACTTCAGTAGAAGTTACACCATATTGGTTAATGGTTGATGCCAACTCTAAGAGTCTGCACCATATTTCCTATTAAGACCAAATGCTTATTTCCATGTTACAACTAGGGAATATCACCCATTTGTACCAAATAAAACAACATTTATGCCTATTGATCCATTGCATTAATAGTACATTATAAACTTATAGATATGTCAACAATATCCAACACATGAACATTTGTGTATAAATAGCTATTAAGTAAAATCCCCATTTTTATGAACAATCCAAAGATAAGATCATTTCTAAACTTTGGTTCCAAAACTCATCATAACTTTGAAATAATCATCTCCAATATATGAAAATCATTCCCCAACTTATTTTATCAAAAGACATAAAGTCCCCAAGTTCCCAAATTTGACCTAAATGGTCCAAAATCAACAAGATAAGAAATATATGCAATGAGAGTTTTAAGAATCTAAAATACAACATTTTAACAAACAAACACACACACACACACACACACACACACACACACACATATATATATATATATATATATAGTTTTGGAAAAATGTAGGATGAACTCATTATGTTGGGTTTTAAAGAAAAACCCAAAAACCAAGCAAAATGAGGAGGAAGATAAGGAGAACTTGAAAACCCTAGATCAATCCTTGAATCTTGGAGTTAAAAGCTCTTAAACGTCTCCCCCTTGATGCTCCAAAGTCGGCTGTATGCTTACCAAATTGATATAAATATATATATAGAGAGAGAGATAAGAGAAGAATGCCCAAGAACCCTAAGAAAATGCTTAAAAACCCGATTTGCAAGTCTACCACGGCCACACCGACGAGTAAAGTCACGGTGTTGGTCACCCATGTCATTGAGCTCACTCACATGCCAAAACCATGTTGCACAACTTCCTCGCCAGTCTAGGTCACAGGCTTAGCTGCTGAACTCACTATCTCTCCACCCCTGCTCCTCCAAACCATGCGACCCTGACACGCAACTCAATCGTAACATCGCCACTTTAGTCCGAATTCATCTTTTTCCCATGGATTTTATTATATAGATTTTTACCAAACATTTTACCATACAACTATTTCAATAATTGGCATTATAAATTGAAAACCTAATGCAAACCCAAAGTAGATTCAAAATAAAAGTATACTAAAATGATGGGTGTTATATATTGCCTATATCATGGATAAACATATCATTAAATCATGTACATGAATTTTAACGAGTTAAGTCGAGTTAAGTAGAAGATTGTTTGGATCTGTCTTGAGAAACATAATACCAAATTTGATGTCAGAGGGGTATCAAGAAGTCTTGTTAGTGATATCACAAATTAATTATCTTAGTATAAAGTAAGATTAACAATAAAATGAAAACTAATCATAATAATAGTTGAAGGACGGGTTTTTGGCCGTTTTTGGTCGATTAGATATAAATCAAATATTTAAGCCATTAGTAAAATGGTACACTAAGTTTTTTTTCAAAATTTTCTTTCAAAACTGAACGATTTTAATTTACTTCCACTTATGAATTTTATACGACCGGATTCAGATGCAAATCATTAATCCAATTATAAATATAATAATTTTAAATTTTAAAGAGTTACTTAAAAGATAAACAAATTAACAATAGAGAATTAGCTCCAAATTTAACCCTAAAGTTTATATAGTAATTGATGTTCTAGAAATTAATCAATTAGATACAATAATGGCAGATTAGTAAAGTAAAGAGAGAAAGTTCTTCAAAGGTTTTTGTATTGCTCTTCAAAGATTACAATACTTCAAATGAAAATGTTACTTTCTAACGGTTGTTGCTACAAACAAAACTACCAAGGACCATTATTTATAGCAAAGTAAAACACAAATAAATCACTAGACTTGAATACAACATTTTAGACCTAACAATCTCTCTCTTTGGATTCAAGTCTAAAAACAGCAAATTCTTCAAACAATTACAACTTCAGCTTTTAGCACCAATGATCTTCAGAATTCATTCAGTAACTTAACATCTTCAAAAAAAAAATGATCTTTCAAAACTTTGTACAAACTCTCCCTTGATAAAAACTTTCTTTGACCAAAGCTTTTTTGAAAACTTTAGAACTCTTACAATCTTTTGATCTTTGACAATCTTCTTCAAGAAACAATTTTTAACACTCTCACTTAACAATCTCCTCCAAATATAATCATTTTCAAATTTTGACAAGCTCCCCCTAAACTTGATAATATCTTCTATCCAACTTTTAAGTAATCTTTTTCTTTGTAGCAAACAATTATCTTCTTTGACTTTCACACAAACTCCCCCTTAAACATAGCTTGACAATAATTATCAGTTGACAAAAAATTTTCATTTTTTTCTTTTCATTCTCTTTGAATTTAAAAGCGTTACTTCCCATTTTTCAGAAATATCTCAGATACTCCCCCTAAAAACAACACTTTCCATTCATTTTATATCTACTCCCCTTATTGTGATAATCCGATCCTAGTTATTACCTGAGGTAATTAATATGTGATTATTTGTTATGTGCTTACGTGACAACATGATAAATTTGGTATATTTGATCATGCTAGTATGTGAAATTATGTGCATAAATGAGTATGCATCAAATAGGTGGGTATTTATATGCATGAATAAATGTATAATGCATGTATGCATATGATTTTCTGCATGAAAGATATATCATGCATAAGGTTACATGGATGAATGGTTATGTATATATGGGGTTATGTATGAATGTTCATGCATGGTTGTGATAGCCGACTTTCCAGAAAAGGAACGTATAAAAGGAGGGGTTAAGCCTCCTTTGCATTCTCTTGCCATTTTGAAAACCTGAAAGAGATTTGAGAGAAAGCTGTCCGGAATATTTCTTAACTGGAATCTAAGTTGATTTTCAAAAGGAATTCAAAGGTGAGTGGTTTTTATCATCTTGTTTACATATGAAATTAAATTCTTTGGTTTGATTAATGTTTTGATCTAAAAACTTGTTTACCTGGTTTAGACTTAAATCGGATAAAGGGACGTCCGATTTAGGTTAA